GAAACCATAAATGGCAGTCATACGAATCCAAAGATTGCAAAATACAAAATGTTACAGGTCACATTCAAATCTCCCTTTAGGGATGCTAATCATGACCAATGTATATGTATCATTAATTGAGAATCTAGGAGATTAGAAGAGTTTGACTGACAGTGTGTGGATTAGCCTTAAGATTGTTATAAAAGAAGACATAGAGATCGAGGAGAGCTTGCAGGTTATTAGCACTGTGACCGTTGAGTACATATTTTTCATATTTGTTCTCAGAGACAGAGATGAAGGGCCAGGCAGCTTTTTTCCCTATGCTTATTTTGCTTCTCTTGGTTTTCTCTCTTGGTATATGCATGTCCTTTTTTTTATATATAAATATATTAGGCTTTTTGGATCACAATCTGAATTCATGCTTGGTGTATGGCTTTACATGTCTGAACGTTTTTTTTTTGGGTGGATATTTAGGTAAAATGGAAGGAGAGGCACAAACATGCTCCTCCCCTACTATTCCAATTATGAACTGCTCAAAGCAATCCTGTATCTTAGCCTGCATTCAACAATATGGTGGAAACATCAATGGCGGATGCATCGACAATGATACGTGTTGTTGCAAGAATTGAAGGAGCCCCAAAAGTTAATGGTGAATCTGACATCAATAGTTAACCATAAACCAAGCTCATAAGCTTGAACTCAAATGACATTTCACTCATAGGCGGAAGTCTTGTGTCCGATTCCTTCCTTCTCAATATCGTTTGTATCGGGTAAAAAATAATGATATTGACAATAAATATTTGGCTTGGTAGCCTGATTTAGTGATTGCAAATCTTTTTGCTCTTTACTTTCTGTGATGTTAGACTTATCCACAACCAAATCCTACGTAACTACGTTAAAACTAGTTCAAAATATCACAATCCAGAAATGGCTGCACCTATTTTAACCGGTGGCCTTGTGCCAATGATGATAAATCCAAAAATTCACATATAATGGTATGAGCCTTCCAACAATGATCTTAGAAACAACTTTGTATAAAGTGTTACATAGGCTAATTGGACGGAACTGCATCATGCTTTGAGGATTAGTGATTTTAGGAACCAGAGTAATAAGAGTATTGTTCAAAAAATATGGAACGAAACCATTATAAAAACATTTAAACACTTAACCTTCAATATCTTTCTTACAAAAAGACCAACAATTATGGAAAAAAAAAAAAAGCAGAATAGCCATTGGGACCATGAGCCTTGTAGGGACCAATAGCAAATAGAGCATCATGCACCTCCTTTTCAGTCACCTCCTTACTGACAGCAGCCAAATCAGCCTTAGGAATATGGGCAAAAAGAGAAGGCAAAGGACTGTTAATGATATCAACAGCACCATCCAAAAAAATGCCATGAAAATACTTAACAACAAGAGCTTTCAAACCCTCTTTACTAGAGATCCAATCTCCATTATTATCTTTAAGCCTTTCAATCCTATTCCTTCTTCTTTTGACAAGAGTAGTAATGTGAAAGAACTTGGTATTTCTATCCCCACTCCGCAGCCAAGAAACTCTAGATTTTTGTTTCTAAAACACATCCACCAGAAACAATAAATCCTCAAACTCTTATTGTAAATGCTTCTCCATATTGCTCAAAAAAGGGAGAAACCCTTACAAAGAGACCTTTGAATACCTTGAAGCCTAGCAAGAATTCTCTTATTCTTTTGAAAGATTTGACCATAGACTTGAGTATTCCACTTCCGAAGCAGGGGAATCAACATGTCCAATATATTAGAAACTGAACCTTCCAAATTCTTCCACTCTGCTTTAATGAAGTCAGAAAATAAACAATGTTTAAGCCCCATTGCCTCAAATCTGAAAGGCTTAAGCTCAGATGAAGGAATCTTATTAGAAATTAGACTAATCAAAAGAGGACCATGATCAAAACATCTTCTAGGCAAATGCCTCATGAAAGCTTCAAGAAATAAAACCCTCAACTCCTTGTTACAAATAGCCTTATCCAATCTCTTCATCACAAAATCACCATCAACTCTCTTATTAACCCAAGTAAACTTCGGTCCCAAAAATCCCAAATCAATGAGCCCATGCTAATCAAACCAGTCTTTAAAACCTCTACTTTTACCAGATAATTTTCCAAAATTTTCATTCTCAAACAAGATATTATTAAAATCCCCACAAACAACCCAAGGAAGATTCAAATAAGCAGCAATAATGGATAAATTTTGCCAGAGATAAGATCTTATAGTCGGGCAAGGGTGTCCATATACGGTAGTAAATATCCAAGAAGTACCTCTAGCAGTTTCAACACAAACAGAAACAGTTTGATCTATACAATGAATGACTCTCAAGTTGAATTTAGCATCATTCCACAACAGCCAAATACCACCAAAGAAACCTACAGCATCAGAAATTTTAGCTTTAGGGAAGCCAAGTTGAGAAAAGACTTTCCAAGCTCTACTGGAGCTAATTCTAGGCTCCAAAATAACCAACATATCCAACTTATGTATATACTTAAGATCTTGCATAACAAGCAATGATCTCTTATTACCTGCCCCTCTAATATTCCAACAACTAATCATCATGATGGAAGGAAGAAAGAAAGGTAAAAAAAAGACCTAATCGGAATTGGCAGACAAAGGCCCCATAATATTGAGACCTTGAGCCTCGTCATCCTCTGCATAACAAGCAGGCACATCAGCGATTAAAGCTTCACCAACTTTAGAATCCAACTGCACACTCTTAGAATCCCTCAAATCCTGAATTTCCATATCCTGATCAGCAGCTCTATAATCCATAGAAATAATATTTGGAGCTTGAGGCTTACAAGTGAAAGAATAATCGTTTCTACAAGCATAAACCTCCCCAATTTCCAAACCTCCTAGTCACAGAGCTCCTAAGATTAATCAAAGCTTAGTCCAACTTAGACACAGAAGTTATGGTGGAATCATGAGCCAAATTCTTAGAGCTAGGCCTCAAAACAATAGCAGGCCTAGAAGAAGATTTATTTGAAATATCATACAAAACTTTCCTCGGCCTACCAATCTTTTCTTTGCCCTTATTAGGAGGAGTTAGATCATTCCAACCACCATCATCTTTACTTTGAATAACCTTCCCATTAATTGACAGAAGATTCTCCAAAGTCCTAAAAACATGCTCTTGCTCACCATCAAAACAATCGTTCTCCAATATATTAAATCTAGAACCAGAAGCATCATAAATCCCAACCTCATAATTAACCTTTTGAACAACTTTCTTTTTATCTTTCTAGGGCAAAGCATTGTTGGAATAAAAAAAACCTTCTCCTGTCCCTTCTAGACGACCTCAGGGATAAAACCCTTTCCTTTATCTTCACTAGCAGTAGTCCCATTTTCAAAATTCTTATTCCAAACTTTCTAGTAGGAATAACATTCCAGATACCAAAACCATTTTTATCCCCAATGGGATCAATTAGGCCTCTTTGATTATCATTAAGCCTCATCTTACGTAACTTCTCCACTTGATGACAACACATCTCTTCTTGAATATCCCCAGCCATATCCATATCAGTCTCATTGTCCTTATGGACAGGGTTAGCAAAAGGACAATACTCTTTACTGTGCCCAACTTTGCAACAACTAAAAAAAAATCACAGAGAGATTTTCGTATTCCACTCTCACAGGCCTACCTTCAACAACTACGTAAGGGATGAGAGGCTTATTCAAATCAATTTCAACAATGACCTTTGCAAACTTACCTCTCATCTGACTTACAGTATGAACATCCACCTTATAGGATGAGCAAATCAAATCCCCAATACACTTAATAGTCTCAGAATTGAAAAAATCAACTCCTATACCAGATAATCTCACCCAAACAGTAATGTGGGAAACATACTCCTCAACCGCACAAAAATTAGGTCTCCGTTTTTTAACAACAACATACTGCCCTGCTACTACCCAAGGACCCCCAGTTAACACATACAACAAATCCTCCTCAAGAACAAAACGAACAATGAAGAACCAATTGTCTAAATCAACTAATTGCATCGGTCCCTTAAGCCTCTAGCGCTGCTTCAAACGTGCAAAGATAAAATTATATGTATGAGTCTTCCCTACAAATTGGATAATCATAGAATTTCTCCAGGGTATATAGATCTTATTCTTAACATGTTCAGAAAAACGAATTGAATGACCATATGGAGAATCCTCAACTTCATAATCACCAGATTCAATGGAGAAACCATCCTTCTCCATTCCTCCAATATATTCAAAACAAGAAGAGCTTAGTAACTTATCTTTGAAATTGACCTTTGGCAGGAAGGTGACAGGACCCGCCCCGAATCTCCTCAAAAACCGGGACGGATCCCGCCCAAATTCCGACATCACCCCGATGCCGGGCCCACTTACTAAAGACCGAGACTTTCTACCAAAAATTTGGCAGAGTCTCCCCTGTAAAATGAACATTCCCAAACTTCAACCTGTTCAAAATTACAGTTATAAACAACCAACTGGCAGCATGCTTACAAGCAATAAAATATTTTACAATAAAGGCCTCTGGCCTCACGATTTATACCCTCAGCGGGCGGTGCAAAGCATATCTAAGAAGTTCAAATACAACAGAAGTACAGTTCAACTGAAAGGAAAAGGTGAAAGAGTCCCTACGAAGACTCAAGTTTTGAGAGCACCCGGTCCGACTCGACTGTAGAGCTCAGTTGCTACTGGCTAGGGGCGCAAAACAGAAAATTGTGAGTGGACGAAAATTAAGTTCAGTTCAATTAAATCAAAGTAATATAACCCACATTTATAAAAACATGTAACGAATCCAGATGCATAATAAAACCGTCATAAGGAGTATATAAACATATACTAAAAATAATACCGAATACCAAATCCGAAATCCGTGAATCACACGTCACAAAACCCACCACTCAAAACTTAAGAGTCCCGAGAGATTAAACTCTCGAAAACGTACCCAATGGTACGACAGGCGAGGAAGTATCCTTACTAAGAAATAAGAATGACAGAAGATTCATGTATATATAAAAATATAATAGTAATATAAAATATAATAATAAGAATATATAACTATAACCAAATTTAGTTGTACCGGGAAAACAATCCAACCGGGGGATTGTTTGACTAGTCCACATGGCAGAGTCATTCCTCAATTTACCATGTGTCTAGGGAACGAGCCGTCCAACTGGGGAACTAACTCTCAGCCAGCACGTACAGCCGACACAGTCAAAGCTTGTACGCCAGAGATACCAGTCCTACGCGCGCAGACTACCCCAAATTCAAGGTCCACAGCAACATCCCCTCAAGGATGTCCTGAAATAATTCCAAGCGTATCTAGTATCAATAACCAAGTTTCAGATCCGGGGAGGTACATAAGATAGTGTTTAAAGCATTCCAAACAGACATATCAATGATCACACCTTTACATAAACTCATATTAACCTCCCAGGTACCCAACACATAACCATATGTGTATATATTCTCAAAACCCAAACATATTATCAAAATTTTATGAAAACCACGAATTTCACATTCGAATATATACCATATTCAATAAATAAAATAAAGCAATATGCCATGTTTTCCATGAATAAAGTCATGTCGAAGTTTTAAAAGAAAAGTCCACTCACAAGTAGTCCCACACAGTTTAACCCTGAGAGGGTCCCGCCTGCTTCGTATACGAGGTCGGAGTACCTGATTCAGAATACGAAAATGCGATTAACATCAAGCACTGCGAAACAGAACTTTAAAATAGGGTCCAACTACCCAATTCACACGATGAAACAGCCTCGGAAGACACTCGGTCAACTGACGGTCAAACTTTCCAATTCGGGTCAACCGGGCCCACGGGACCCACGACCTCCGTTTTCCAATCCGGGAGTTCCTATAGGTTTTACAAGGTCTAGGACACACGTCCTGCAAGTTTGGTCCAGATTAGACGGTTGGATCGCTCACGATTGCACGATCGGACGGTTACTAAAACCCTAACCCTAGGGTTGGCATTTCCGGAGTATCCGGAACTCCGTTTTACAATCCGTCGGATCCTACACGGTCCTAAGGATGTACAGGTTAACATATGTTAAATTCAAGACCATCCAACGGTCCAAACCTATCAAACCCAGATAACGCGTAATAGGCGATATCCGTTCGAGACTCAAACGGTATCCAAATCGACATCCGAACACGCCTACGCGCTCGTGACAACACTAGAATTACAACAGGACGCAAATGTGGCCTCACTACCTTGCCCACGCCCTGCCACATGTGCCGGCAGCGCGTGGGTATGTAGAGTAATTTCCAGCGACGGAAAAATTCCACACCACTGCTCACCTTTCCTACCCTAGATACTACTCGAGGCAAGGATCGCTTCATTCAACTACGGGAAGGTCCAATTTGGACGGCATCTGGCCGGAATTTCACTTTGAAATCCGGCCAAAAACCTAGGTTTCAAATTCGTTTTCCAAACTCAAAATCGATCCAAACCTACCCCAAAAACAGCTACAGCATACGGAGAAGGTTCGAAAGCATACCAAGCTCGACGGAAAAATCGGCCGGAATCGCTACGCCGTCGTGGTGAAAATCGGAGAAAAACCAGTCGAACCCGTCGGCTGGAATCGAGTTTTCCGGCGGGGAAAGCCGGTGGGTCTTGACCGGGACGTCGAGACGAATCTAACGGGACCGGTCTCGAGAGCTGGGGTGGCTGGATGTGATGGCGGCGTGGATTTTTTTTGTTCGGGTGAACAATAACTCGGGAGAGAGGGAGAAGAGCTCGGGGAGAAAGAGAGAAAGAGAGAAAGAGAGGTAAAACTGAAAACAAAACTGATTTTTACCCAAACCCTTCTCGAGTTAATTATGATTTTGTCACCGAAGGTAAATTGATCGCCGAAATTTCGTTACAAATCTAAATAGAGTCTACCACACATCCACGGACTCACCTCAATGTGACCAATCCAAAAATACCAAACTCTCTTTCCGGATTAAGAAAATGACCAAAATACCCTACCCCAAGGGTAATTTCGTAAATTCACATGTAATTAGATTAAATACTTTAAATTAGAAATTTACTTGGAGTCAGGGTGTTACAGAAGGGATCTGATCGGACTAATCCATGCCACCATCATCGCCTTTAGGAGGCGCAAAATCCTTAGAACGGAATCGTTTGGACGAACCATCCTTCATGACATCTAGACTCTCCGTGGGCTGGTCAGTTGAAAAAATGAAACCAGGAGACAGAATCGCTTTCGAGCTGATCGGATCTGAAAGAGTTGGGCAAGAGAATGCAAAAGGAAAGGGAGCGCGTGGAGCACATTCAAACGCACTCAAAGCGACGGATTAAATTCCTTATTCATTATATTTTGTTGATGATAGAGTTTTCATTCGTTCTTCTAGCTAATTACAACCGATATGTATGCTGCTCAAATGAAGAACAATCATTTGTCTTTCCTTAACTTTTTCCCCAAGCATTGTTTTGTTGCAGACTTTTGCTTTGCTTAAATGACATTATGAACCAAAAGCATATTAGCTGCCCATTGGTCCCTTAAAATTATTCTAAATTTTCTCTTTGAATATTACTAACACCCACATTAAGGGGAAAAATTGATATCAAAAAACGTTGTGCAGTGGAATAATGTTTTCTTGGTGACGTTGTTTTAAATCACTTTCCAAGGAAGGGAAAGAATCAAGCAAAGGAAATGGAATGACGATATATATCTAAAAAAATTAAACATTTCTTAAAAATCACAACTGGGCCTGTCGGAAATATTACGCAGGCTGGTGCAGGGCAGGTGACAATTTCAAGGGGT